GCTGCGCTGGATGGGATGCTGTCCATCAGATCCACATGTGCTCAGGCAGCTGGCGAGTGGCTGGTGACCTTCCTGAAGAAATGCAGGGGCAAGAATTATTCACAGAGGTAAAATAGACACTTTTTCCCTCTGGCTCTGAGCTTCCCATCTCAGCTGCTGCAGTGCACTGTGGGCGGCTGGTATGGGCTAAAGAAGCACACGTGGTGTGGACAGCCAAGGGCTTTGTCCGATCCGAGTGCAGGCAGCCACATCCTGGACTTCTTAGTCTGGTGACACTGATGCTCCCAGGCCAAACCCAGCTCATTCCCATGACTGAGGCAGTTACAGCTGAGACACCCAAACTTCCCAGTTGCTCCCTGTGTCCCAGGTGGGTGCTCAGCCCTCCTTGCCCCTGGGCCCTAAGGGGAACAGCACCGTCTTCTGCAACAAGAAGGTGGGGGGGGCTGCAGCAAGTTGTTGGCACCCTGAGTCCTTCCCAAGGAGGAATACTATGTTGACACTGGGGGTTTCGTCCTCCTCACTCCTGGCACTGCTGAGTTTTTTTACAAATTTTCTAACAGAATCTCCTTATTTGCTTGCTCTTTGTTGGCCCCAGTTCCACAAACTTCCAGTGTTTTACTCTGTATTTGGTGCATGTTATGACATTGTATACCTGTTCTCGACTCTCATTGTCTTCTCTGAGCCCAGCTCTTCCCAGTGATCCTGTGTCCCCTCTGTGGCCATCGCCCACAGTGAAGAGAGAGACCAAATGGTGCCTGTGTCACTGTCTGGGGGCCAGCCCCATCAGGAGAAGCTGAGTGCTCCCACGGAACCGTGACCCCATTGGCTGTCCTGATCCCAGACACAGCTTCTAGCTTCGAAGTCTCAGGGGAAGGTCCTCTCCTGTTGGGAAGGGGGTGGGCATGGGGGAAAGGAGGAGGCTGGAGGAAAGAACAGTGTACTCAGAGAGCTGGCTTCATCTGGAAGGGAGGGTGAGAACCTTGCACCTGGGAAAGGCAGGCGTGCTCTCTGTGTGCACAAGGGGTTCACTGCAAACCACTGGGGTGATATTTAGGGCTGCATCTGCAGAAATTGTCAGGGGAACCGGCATTGCTCATTGTCTGCACAATTGTGTCTGGGTGGGGAAAGGATGTACAGAACAGCTCTTTTTGTCTTTTCAGTCAAGTGCCAGAAATCCTCAGCACAGTTTATGCCCAGATGCTGATCACGCAGCATGATGCCCTCTAACACTTCCTTGTCATGGTGGTGTCTGTGCTCATCCTTGCTCTCCCTGTGGCCATCAGCAACAGCCTCCTGCAGACGTGGCTGCCCCTGGACAGGTGCGTGTCCTGCCCCAGCCCCTGTGGGCAGGCAAGGACCTGCTCTCTGGCGGGTGAGGAGGAGTTGGCAGAGATGCTGGTCCTTCTCCTCTGGGGAGAGAAAGTCTGAGCATGGTCAGATCCAGTGTTCGTTGTCCAGAGCCTGGCCCCTGACAGCCCCTTTGGGGCAGGGAGAGCACTTGGCTGTGTCGACAGCATCGCGGGTACAAGAACCCACAGGCTGACGAGTGAACTTCTGCTCCCCTGCAGTGACATGACGGAGCCATCAAGAATCCTGTGGAGGAAACACTTCATTCTAAAGGTTTTAATGGAAAACTTAAAGAACTAAGGCACGGACAGACCTCAGACTGACTGTGCTGATCTGAGGCTACTCTGCAGCTGCTCGGTGTGTTTCTGGCATATACATTTCTTCAGCTCCTTGTCTGCCTTTCTGACTAACTCTTCATCCCGAGGGAGTCGGGGGCATGTTGCGAATGCCCATGAAGCCCCCGGGGTGCTGCGTCAGCCCTGCGCAGTGCTGGCAGTGGGGAAGCCGAGACAGTTTGCGGCTCCCAGTCTGCATGGCTGTTGCAGAAGGCTAAACGGCAGACAGCAAAAGCCCCACAGGCAGGCGTGGGCTGGTGGGAAAAGGCTGTGGTTTCACTGGCAGTTTTCATTTAATTTCTCTGCGGATTACCCATGCCACCTCGGAGGTGGTGTCCATGTGGCAGAGCCTGGAGGCTGTCACTCTTTGAGTGGCTCCCCATCCTCCTGCAGCCCATCAGTGCCACCCTGAGAAGGGAGATGCCTTTTCCCCACTCAGCCCCACGGAAGGACACGCAAGTGACGGGCATCCCTGCAGGTGGAGCAAACGGGATGGGCACCTGGGCTGGGCGTCACTGCCCGGGACCAGGTTGTGTTTGCTCGTGGCATTGAGGCAGCACTTCAGCCTCCTCATCTCCTGGGGGAACAGATTGCTTCGGTTGGTTTTTACTTCCATTTTTTTCATGGAGAAACTTTGATCCTCTGGGAGGAAGGTGGTGCCCAGTTTGTAACCGCTGCCTGCTGGGGCCTTGCCTCCCATGTTTCCTCAGTTCCAGGTGCCCTGCCTCCCCCCCCACCCCGGTGCCCGCTGCAGAATGCCCCTCGCAAGTGGCCCTGCCGCGCTTCCCTCAACACGGAGGCAGCCATGGGCTGCCTGTGGAGCTGGGGTACCTGCTGCAGCCTGCGGCGCTGGGAAGGGGGCATCTCCACGGGGCCAAAACCTGACTTGTTTGGTCTGTGCCTGCCCGGGGAGATTTGGTTTTTTTCTCTAGCCTTTGTTTATTTTGGTTTGGGTTTGTCTGTTTGGTTGTATTCCTTGTTTTGTTAGTGTGAGCTTGATGATTGCTTTGGTTTCTGTGGCAGTTTCTGCAGTGCAGGTCTCTAGGGGATCCCCGTTTCAGGACTTCAGGGGCTGAGGACCGTCCCTGTGTCCCCAGCCGTGCTGTGGTCAAGCTCCCTCACCCCTGGGCTGCAATGGGGAGACTTTGCCCGGGCAGTTCTTGGCCTTGCAAGGTGAGAGTGCCTGTCTTGCTCATGCGTGGGCCAGGTGCGGGACGCCTGCAGCCGTGGTCCAAGCACCGTGTGGTGGCTTGGCGAGACCCCCCCCCCCTGTGTGGTTTTCTCCAAGGCTTGTGCCCTGCTGACGCTCCGCTCCCCAGGGAGGAGCGGGACCCACACTGCCTCGCACTGCTCTTGTCACAGCGCTGCTGGGGACAGCCGGTAGCTCTCCAGCCCTGGAGCTTCTGGCGCCGAGGCTGGGTTTGCTGGTGTGGCCAGTGAATGGGGGGCTCCAAAACGGGCGGGAAGGGCCGTTTTCTGGTGGCCCTGCGGGCGTCAGGGTTGGGGCGTGCCGTTTCAGAGGGACCCGGCTTCTCCCTGCGTGGGATTAAGCACAGGTGCGTGAACACCCCCAGGCGGCTCGGCTTCCCCGGCTCTACCCGACAGGCATCGTACTCTAAACACGTCATTAACCACTTCTTGCGCTTTGTCGTCCCCACCCGCCCCCGCGGGTTTCCGCGGAGACATCGGCGGCGGGGCCGCGGGGCAGCGGCTGCGGGAGCCGGGGCAGCCCCAGGACCCCCCCCCAGGCTCCCGGCACGGCCGCGTGTCTCCCGACGTGGGAGAGAGCCCCCCGAGACCTCTCCGGGCCCGGCGGGCGGCTGCCCCCCGCGGAAGGGCGGCGGGACCC